CATCTGTCAAAGCAAAACTTGGGATATATCCATTTTCTGTGAAGAGAAAAAAAGTCAAAGRGAAAGATACTTTTGGCACCGTGTCTTTGTTCCTCTACTGCAGGGTTGTTTGTACAAATTAAGCCTGTGATAGAAGGACTCAACAGAATCTACACTTGTCTTGTGTGGGCCAGGTTTTCATGTGGTTGAGCATGTGGGCAGCTGACTCTTCTGAATACAGGAAGGTATCTTTTCTTTTCAGGAACTCTGCTGAAATAGCCGTGTGAGCAACAATAGCAGCTGCTGCAGCTTTTGGCACAGCAGCAATAGCTATGCTTGCAGCTGTGACAGCAACAGAAGCCACGGGAAAGCCAGGAACACTCTGGCTGCACACTCAGTGTTGGCTGGTGTGCTGTGACCACCTTCATGTCACAGAAGATTCCTTACTAGAGCAGACGGTTAATTAAAATCCAATGAAGAGTGAGCCCCCAGCTAAAGATACCCTCCTCCCTAGATTCCCATCTGTTTAGACCTACAGACTGTCCCACTGTTTTCTTAARGGGCTTATGGAGAAGGGAGAGGAACTTGCTAGCACTATATCAGCCTACAGAACTTGCTGTGATGTATCACTCAGGTTTGTAAAGTGAAATAATTCGATGCACCAATAATATCGGCTGGGAAGCTTTGCATAAAGGTCAGCAAYAGTGCACAACAAGCCAGTGATGAGCCAGAAAAGAAAGCCATCCTGGGCTGCATCAGAAGAGCCCTGCCAGCAGGCTGAGAAGTTGATGATACTTCCCTCAGCCCTGGTGAGAGACTTTTGGAATGCTGGGTCTAGTGTTGTGTTCCCTGGTACAGTGGAGACATTGACATTCTAGAGAGACACCTGTGAAGGGCTATCAAAGATAGCTCAGAGACTGCATCATCTGTCATACAAAGAGACGCTGACAGATGTGAGACTGTTCAGTCTCTAGAAGGCTCAGAGGATCTTTTCAAAGTCTAAAATTACATTATGAGAGGGAGTAAAGAAAGCAGAGCTGGTCTCTTTAGTGGTATTCAATGAAACAACATGACAAAATAGACCCAAACTGAAATACAAGAAATTCCATTTAAGCATAAGAAAAATATTTTGCATTGCGAAAGTGACCAAGCACTGATGAAGCAGCTCGACTGAGGAGGTTGTGGTGTGTGTGGTCTTGAAGGTATTCAAACATCAAAATTTACAAAGCCTTGAGTAATCATTTGTGATCTGCTCTGGGCAGGAGGGTTGGACTACATGATTTCTAAATATTCCTGCCTACTTCAATTTTTCAGTAGTCCGTTGATAGTGCAACATGCTAACGAAGAGTGGTTTTGCTCTTCTTCTTGATTAACAATATTCACATTGTTATATGCAACGATGGTTTGCTAAAAAACAACGGTGAAGGCCCAAGATGAATGTCTAGAAGACTGGGCAACTGGCTAGAAGATGGTCATATATCTCATGGAGTAAATTGATCTGTGGGACTGAAAGTTCTCTGAAACACACCTGCCTCCTTGACACCAAGCTAAGGGGTGACTGGCATGCTGAGAGCAGCGCAGCAGGACAAGAGTCCCCAGAAGAGTCCTGTGGGACCAGTTGTTCAGTCAGCAAAGTAGAGCAGAGGCTCCTTTCCTATGTCTGCTGGAAGAAGAGAGCTGCATGAGCACCTATCTCTCAAAGGAAAGTATCGACGCTAAGCCTGGGAAGTTTCAAGCTTGACTTTAAGGCACTATAGGGAACAAAAACAGCAAGCCTGGTTGTTGTGTGAGAATTGTCCCTTAATGAGGATAAATTTGAAACTCACRGGTGCAATTCACTGGGACTGGTATCTTTGTTTGGGCATAATGGATGATTCCCAAGGACTGGGCGCTCCTAAGGCCAGATAAAYGAATATATTAAATTTTAGTGCTTCAAATGGATGGCAAGTTGAAGAATTTCCACACAAATTCTGGAACTGCATATTCCAGTGATGTGTTGCAGCAAAATTTATTAACTTTGGAAACGTAAGAATTAACTGATGTCCAACAGTAATACAGATGGGATTTATCTTCTAGTTCTTTACTTAATTGACAGCTACACSAAGATCAGCTTGAGGAAAAAGCCTTCTACACAACTTGTGTGAACATTTTACAAATAACAGGCCAAGTCTAGCACTGAGCTGACTTGATGGAAGCAGGATGCTTGGCAGGGAGTGAGAGTGGGCAGTAATTGTTCTTAAAATGAGTAATGGCATTTTATCTTGRGCCCTGCAGAAGGGTTAGAGTGGGTAGATGGACAGGAGGAGTTAGATGAGACAGTTAAAGTAATATGGGAGGGATGAATGACAAAAACATTCCACAGAAGTCTGGACATACCAAAATGGTATTGGTCACTGTCAACAGAATTAACAAACAGAACATTATGAGAAAGAAGATTTAGCTGTGTGGATAGAAGAAAAAAGCTATGATTTGGTGCTGTGGTACTAGAAGAAGTCTGCAAGGGAGCTAGGTAAAACATGAAAGATAGAGCCCAGAGAGATCTCTAAGACTAAAGCATCAGCATGTGGGCCTGGGAAACATGCTGATACTGGAGAGAGAGAGAGATAAGTGGCAGGAGAATCTGGAGGCAAGTAAAACCATCTTGTCTGTTAGCTGCCTGCAGATGATAAAAAGAGATTTTAATTTGGATCAGAATTAATGGCTGTAGTAGAAATATGGCAATGAGTCATGAGATAAATATGTATTTATTGACACAATTTCCGACAAAGAAACAGAAGCTTTGATTCAATATGCTAATAATTACATCCAAGATACAGAAGAACCAGAAATTGGCACTCATGCTAAGTAAAGAGAGTAGACCTCAGGGTGTCCACTGTAGATCGTAATTTGGTTACCAAAGCTGACATGTGAAGCTCAATTTTGAGCTTCTCCTAAGAGAGAAACTGTGACAAAGCAGTTTCATTGAAGGGCCAGAATGAGGGGATGCAATGGAGCTAATCAAAAGAAGTCCCCAGCGTCCATTGCAGATTTTGGGGAGGTTAGAGAGGAAAAGAAAATGCAGAAGGGAATAGGAGTACATATGGGTAACTAATGTATTATTACATTGCAAGGAGAAAGAAACAAAGGAAAAGGACAGGAAAAGGAAAGGATGAAAACATGAAGAATGAACACATGGGAGACCAAATGAGATGAAACTTGTGGGGATGTGGAAGATGGCAAAAACAATTGCACCCTCAAAACAATTAATTTATGGTGATGCATTTTCAATGTGTAGCCTTCTCCCTTCTACTCACCGTTAACATTCAATCTTACTAAATTCAAATAAAAGGACCAACAAAGCTATGGTGTCCATTTTTGCTACACTGATACAGCTTTCCAGACCCAGATATTACTACAAGAACTTATGTTCTGTTTTTATTTAATTTTCTCATCTTTATGCCTGTTTATATACAGAGAGTAACAACAGATTTTCCCAACTTTGAAGGAGATGAGTATTTGTCTCGAGAATTGCAAATCTGTTTTTCCATGGTAAGTACAGTATGGGTGTTAATCTAACCAAATGTGTTTTTAATCTGAGAAGTCAGAAAGGAATTACAAGGCCACTTTGTGACAGAAATAAAACCCCCCAATTCCAAACAAAACCCATCCCAAACCCCACCAAATTACCTTTGCTCCTTCACACKTCCCTGCAAGCATCTCATTTGTCTTAGTGTCTTCAAATAAACAATATTTGTGGATATACTATTTGCTCAAATGCTCACTATGCTGTTGTTGGAATATAACCAATGTCTTTAAAACTGTCTTTCTTTATGGCTCTCAGCAGCATCAAATGTTGCAGATTTGAAAGCCAATTTTTTAAAAGTAATRTCCCACATTATATACTTTTCCAGATAAAGAAGACCAGTCAAAATCTGTTGACATCTGTGGGACAATTCTTCCAGACTTTATAAACCTGTACACATATGAAAGCTGAGTATTTGCTAACATAGATGAGATTGTAATTTAGATTTAGCTTTGTCCCCACAATGTGTTGAATGCATCTTGTGTTGAAAACCATTATCTTGAAAGTGGCGTTTTACACTAACATTAAAGATTTGGTATATCAGTATTAGTAATGCCTGTGGGTATCGTGATATTCACATTGAGATCTTACAGCACCTTCCAGTACCTAAAAGGGGCCTCCAAGAGAGCTGGAAAGGGACTTTTTACAAGGGCATGAAATGATAGGACAAGGGGAAATGGCTTCAAACAAGCAGAGGGTGAGTTTAGAACAAATATTAAGAAGAAATTATTTYCTGTGTAGATGGTGCAGCACCGGAACAGGTTGCAGAGACGAATTCTGGATGTCCATCCCTGGCAGAGTTCAAGGTAGGCTTGGATGGGGCTTTGAGCAACCTGGTCCAGTGGAAGGTGTCCCTGCCCATGGCAGGGTGGTCGGAACTGGATAAATCTTTAATTGGCTTCCAACCCAAACTATTCTACGATTCTGTGATTCTATGACTCGACAACAGCGGGAAGAGAAAGAAAACAACTCGGGAAGAGAAAGAAAACAACTCGAGAGAGTTTGATGTGTTTTATATCAACTATGTAACATTGCACAAATTATACTTGCAATCTCAGGGAGTTCAGAAAAACCTTTAAGGGTGAGAGGAAGTACAATCCCCTTTCCTGCTCGCTACCGTACCCGCACGCTGTTTTGGAGCGGTCACCGCTGCGGGGCTCGCGGCTGCGCCCTCTCCAACCTGCCGGAGAGCTGCGTGTGTGGCCGGCATTCAAACTGAGCCACAGTGGCACAGCGACCGCGCGCAGCCTCTACAAAAACACAGCCCACGGCAGCCCTGCTCCCCTTCCCGGGGCGCGGCTCTTCCGCACAGATCCCGGTCAGATCCCGGCCCCATAGCGAATCCATCCCGGCCCCATCGCCGGCCTCATCCCGACCCCGCCCGGGCTCGGCCGCCCCACGCGCGCACCGCCCCGCCCCGCCCCGCCCCGCCCCGCGCAGTGCGCATGCGCGGCCCGCGGCTGTGACGCCGTTGTTGTGGCGCGGCGGGGAAGCACGTGAGGAGTGCGACGTCACCATAAACACTCGTGGGCAACATGGCGGCGCCGCCGAGCGGCAAGGTAACGGGGGCGGGCGGCGGCGGGCCCGGCCTCTCTCGCCTCTCCCCGCGCGGGACGCGCCGTGCCCGGCGCTGAGTCGCCGCGGCTGGACGGAGTCGCTKGGAGGGGGGGTCGGGGAGCTGTATGGGCGGGCGGGTGCCTTTTCCCCCGCCGTGCGGGGGTCGCCTCACGGGASCGCCCCTCCGGGAACGGGCCGTACCGGCCTCGGGTCGGCAGAGCGCCGGCAGCGGCAGCGGCCGACCCGCCCTCTGCGCCGGAGCGGGCTGTGGCCAGCGGGCGGTACTCGGGCCTTTCTCGCCTCACCGCCCGGGCAGCGCCCCGCGCCGTCGCGGCAGCTCGGCTCCGGCCCCGGGGGAGCAGGAGGCCGCTCTCTGCCGCGGGCGGGCAGCCCTGCGGCCGCGCTGCCTCTCAGCCTGACGTGGAGGAGCGAGGCTTGTCCCGTCTACGTGGCCGTATGTCCCAAAGGAGCTCGTGGACGGCAGTGGCCTTTCTGCTGGCCTGCKCGCTGGCAGTGAGCGGAGACCTGCCCCCGGCGTGGATACAAAGGCTTATCAGTCCAAAAATTTTGTAATTAAATTTTTTGGTATGCCGCGTATCCCTGCGGAGCGTTCCGGAGCGAAAGAGTGTTGCTTGACAGGGAGTGAGATCGCAGGAGGGGGAGGTACCCTCTGCTTYCCTCCGCCCCCACCAACAGATACGAGTTGTGTCCGTATTGTTTTATTGTAGAAATATTTTTATTTCATGACTTTGTCTTCTGAAAGCGTTGCTTTGCAATGCGGTGTTCTCGAGCTCGTGGATCCTTTATTTAGGATTTAAAATCTCAGTGTCGTATCCGAGTGTATGTAGTCACGGTGGGTGTGTGATAGTCTGCGGTTTCACTTTTCCAGCATAGGGCAGAAGATGATTGTTTCAGCTCATGCTGATCTCGGTATTAGAGCACACACGTAATTAGCCACGTCTGTGCTTCTCCGAGGGTGCTGAGAAGTGCACTTACCTAYAGCACGAAAATTCCATAGAGATCCTGCTTTGTGCCTGCCAGCTTACCATATCAGTATCAACCGGAATTGTTGGAGCAGGCAATTTGTGCAGCTCGAGTTTTTACAATTGTATTTTTATGTTCTTTACTGATTTAGGTGTGTAAATATAAGGATAGCCATACTGTCCTCCCAGCTGTTTCTGGCTATGCACATCCAGTTTTCATGTACATACAGAGAAGTTCCCCTTCTGGTTTTATTCATTTTAATATTCAGAAGTTTATTAGATGAAGGAAAATATTTTAAATTTTTAGATGAATACTTTTATATTTAATATTTTATTTTTCCAGGTTGTTTTTTCTTTTCCACTTAGGTTTTTATCAGGATCTTCTTCAGGATGTTTCTTATGAAAGCATCTGTATTCTGATGGATTATACGAGATAGTAAAATGATTGTGGATTAGTTATTTGTGAATTTGCTATGTATTCACTGTTCCTTTCCAAGAAGCCTGTTTACCTGAGATTGAATCTCTGAGATGTTGCAAAACTCTTTCAGTTATGCCATCTCCACAATACTAGTGCAACTTGTTAATGCAGCTTGTAATTCAGTAATATTGTTTGCCATGTCTCTCTTAATACAGAGAAAAAATGTCAGTTGTGTTCTCTCAAACTTCATGAAGTGGCTGRGCTGGTTTGAAGTTTCACTGCTCTCAGGAGCAGTTCCATCCATTTCTCTATTTCCCCACCTGTGTGTTGCACTGTTGCTTTCTGGGATACTGTACTCATTTGATCTGTCACTGATTAGATCTAACAAGCTGAAATAATGCATACAACTGTGCTTATTTTTGTCTGAGTTAGTTTTCTACTGGGAGCAAATTGGACCACAGTTTGTTCCTTTGAGTGGCAGCAGGGTTTTAGGAAGGCTCACAAACTAATGAAACTTYGCTCCAGGTGGAATAAACTCAGTGTAGGTTGGTACAGACTCAGCATTCTCACTTCAGGCATTTTCCACTTCAGTGTCCCTACAAACTGGATTTCCTAAGTTAACTACAATGCTCCTTATGGCTGTGCAGTGTTGTAATGRGGTGTTTCAGGTAGTAGGTTTCTGGAAGAGTTGTAGGCTTTAGTTTGTGGCATGCTTTGGTCTCATGTAGCAGATATTATCACATGAAAGTAATGTATTTTAATGTATGTGTTCTTTGCTGCAAAATATTACACCAAGTGGTTCCCATGGAATGCATGTGGCAGTATGTTAAGCAGCTGGGATAACCTGCATTGTTTCAGCTTTCAAAGAATCTTGTTTTAGCAAACCATATAAGGTTGTGGTTTCTATTACATTTTTATCCTGTCTCTCTTTCTGTTCTCTATTGTGGGGGGGAGGTGCTGTTTTTTGTTTTTGTTTTTTTTTTAATTTCCCAGACATCATTAATATCAGTGGATTCAAAATTCAGCTATTTCTTCTAGTCTCTAGTTTCTGCTCCATACATCAGTGGGATATGAATTATAAATTGGGTGACCTCGTGTACTACTTTACTTGGACTTTTGTCCTGTTGTTTTTTTTCTTTCTGTTTTGTATCTCAGGAGGTTCTTATCTGTGTTTTTCTCTGGTTCGCTCGGTTCAGGAAAAGTTAATGCAGGTGAATTCTGGAGCCGTGACTCATTCTTTATTAATGACCATCTGCCCTAGAACTATGTGAGCTTCAGTTTTTTGCCCTTTCTTAGATATGTCAGTTTTTATGGCAAAGAACTTGGTAATAAGGTCTTCTGCTTTCAGAAGACGTTTTGACTTTATGCAAACAGGTATAATTATATATTATACATATATTATACTCTATGAAAACAGGTATATTTTCTCTCTTTCTGTTGCTTACTAAATGGCAGGTGGTTTACTGTATTTCAGAGAACTGACTCTGGACTCACACTTATGACAGAAAACCACGTTAGAAAATGAGTTAAAAAGTTGTATAGGGAGAAGTATAAACTTCGGTTTTAGTCTGTCAGTATATAGGTGATTGTTGCAGCTGGTCTAAAGACAGTAATGATTTTTTTTATGTTCTTGGAGTTCAGAGTATCTTCAGCACATGGGCTGTTAGATCTTTCTCAAATTACCAATTGACACATGGGCTGTCAGAGAAGTTATTTTTCACTTGCCTGTGCTCTTGCTCTTGGAGTTAAAGTTTCAGATTGTTAAGTGGCCAAACATCTGAGCTTCACCTCTAGCCAGTTCAGAAGCTACAAGTGTTCAAGGAGCTTTGTAGTTATTACTAAATAGTAGTGGTGTTAGTGTTGTATTGTTTGGGGAGAGGGATTTGTATTTGCAGTGGAAGTTGTTTTGTAGGTTTTTTTTTTTTTTTTTTCCTTATGGCTAGGAACTAGCCAAGAGATTTTAAATCTGGTATGTTAAAATTAACTTTATAACCTTCAGGTAGTTGGCTCAGATACAGTGAATTCTTTTAGGTGTATATCTATTCTGTGAGATAGGCAGTGTCTTGCTTCATCTTCTGCTAGTTAACTTGAGTGCACAGAGGTGCCTATACAATGCATTGCTGTATCATTTTATTAAGCACTTGACAAAATATTTGTCAGAACTTTTTCAGCCTTTATARTTTACTGTGAATGCAATCATAATTCTTTTTGATTGTATTATACTTCACAGGTTGTCTTTGTGAAAAGACCACTATCTCTCTTGAATTTACTTAAGGTTTCATTATGTTTGAATGTAAAGCAGTTCAGTGATCATTCTGAAATTCCTGTATCTTCTTTCTATTTTCTGTTTTTTAARGATTTCTCTTTGCTGAAGTGCTCACAATAGGAACAGTGGGTTACTACCTCAATCTCTTGCTCTCGGTACCCTGAATAGACTTGTGTTTTTACTGATATCCCACTGTTGTTGCATAAATAGCAGAAATATTTTGTGGTTCAAGAAATTTTCAGAGCACAGGAGGGAGGGCTTGAAAAATGTACCGTTGTCAAGTAGGAAACTTTTCTTGTGATATATAGTTTCYGATGTTGAGAGCTTTCTTATATTTGTTGCAACGTGAACAATATTTGTGGGATTCTGCCCCTCTTCACCCCACCCCTACTTAGAAATTTAATGTTTTTAAGACTTTAAGATTMGCAGAGTATGCAATTTTACCTTCTTCGGAAAAAAAGTTAAGCCATCGGCTCAGCAAACAAAAGGCATACAAGGTTCAGCAAGGCCAAATGCAAGGTCCTTGGGGCAATTCTAAGCACAAGTAGAGGCTAGGTGGAGAATGGATTGAGATGAGTTCAGGGGAGAAAAGCTTGAGGGTGTTTGTGGGTGAAAATCTCAGTATGATTCAGTATGTCCACCTGCAGCCCAGAAAGGCAACAGCCTCTTGGGCCACATCAAAAGCAGCCAGGTCAGCAGATCAAGGGAGGTGATTTTCCCTCTCTCCTGGGCCCTCATAAGACACCTCGTGGAGTACTGGGTCCAGCTCCAGAGTCCGCACCAGAAGTGGGACATAGACCTAATGGASCGAAGAGGGCCATGAAGATTGTCAGAGAGCTGGAGCAYCTCTCCTATGRAGGAAGGTTGAGAGAGTTGGGGTTTTTCAGTCTGGAGAAGACTCCAAGGACACCTTAGAGCACCTTCCAGTACCTAACGGGGACTTACAAGATAGCTGGAGAGGGCTTTTTCCCAGAGGTATGTAGTGACAGGATGAGGGGGAATGGCCTTCCGCTGAAGGGGAAGGGAGATTTAGGTTGGATATTAGGAAGAAGTTCTTTGCTCTGTGGTGAGACACTGAAACTGATTGCCCAGAGAGGGACCAACCAGAGAGGTTGTCTGTTCCTTATCTCTGGAGGTGTTCAAGGTTGTTCCTTATCTCTGGAGGTTGGATAGGGCTGTGAGTAACCTGGTCTRGTGGACTGTTCCCTGCCCATGGCAGAGGGCTCGTGGCTAGGTGATCTTTTAGGTCCCTTCCAACCCAAACCATTCTATGACTTGTATTTTATTAARATTTGAATGCCAGAAATTATCGTGTATCTTCTGTGGAGCAGAAGA